TGTTGACGACTTTTTGCTAATATTGATTAGTAATGAATTTAATGAATAAGCTCGCATATTTCGATACGTCATGACCTTTTCCAGCGAGTTGGCATTGTACTAACGTTGGGGCAAAGATTTGGGTCAAGAATTTATAATATACGAGCCTTACTTGTCCGTTACTTTTAGTGATAACAGTTTATCTTTCACATTTAGTTACTCTTTGCCATTACTAATCAATTAGTCTTCCATCTTGGGAATGGAACAGTGTGTTTGAGAAACAAGGAACACTAATGACATTGAGTAAAAACTAAAATGCAAAGGACAATGTTCTATAACAATTACCTTTTTTTCTTTTTTATTTCCTGATTAGATTCCGTAATATCATATCTCTTCTAAACAAACTTCTTTTTTTCTCTAATGTATTCGGTCCTATCTCATCTATTTGCTATTGCCAAATGACTTCTCAACTGAGGTTCAACCATGTTATTTATGATATGTTATACGCATATACATATAAGCCTTCGTTATATAGATCACAAGATTACTTGTAATAGGGATGTTTCAAATCGTACGCAAAACCACAGTTATAGAATCCCGTATATGAGAGAATGCGTTTCGATATAGCTTATTACGGGCGAGTGCTACATTTCGAACAAGGAAATTTCAAACCGTTAGCCATTCTGAAAATAATGTACAATCTTTAACATCTGATAACAATATACAAGTCAAATAAAGGGCAAATTGTATTTGCTAAACAGCGTTTTGAGATAGCAAGTTGTGGCTGAGTAGTTTTTTGAATTGACGTTATTAGTGATGTTAATGAATCATAATGCGCACTGCCGATCGTTAAATGAATGGATGTCATATTAGATATGGTTAACGCACAGTCACCACAAGCCTACCCCAGTTGATCTTGTTCCCAACCTGGTTTAGAACCAGTTTGCTCTTAAAGTATAATGCTAGGTACTTTTGAACGGTTAAGTGATATACATACAATATCATATATTTATTTATATCTGCAATTTGATTGTCTTTGTCTTGGGAATAAGAAATCCCATGGTCACCGGAAGCAACATGAATCGTACATGCATACTGATGGTAATAATAAATGGGTAAATGGTTGATTATTTATTCTGACTTCAAATGTGTACCGGCTAAATATAATCTCATCTAACTTTATTCCTTGTTTTCAATGCTTGATCGACTAAATAGAGAGCATGGTAGGTCAATGATTCTATTGGCTCTTCTTCATCGTCTCATTTATACATATTTCCTTATATTTGCTGGTTAGAAAAAGTAACTGCGACATAAATGATAAACAAAACTAACTTATTTTTTTACTTGTGCAACTGGTGTATGCTCTTTCGCAACGTATAGTTTTGAAGAAAGATGTCAAGTAATAACAGAAAACCGATATTAATTGGATTATTTTTAATCAACGATTGTAAACCGCTTACCCATACTCGGTTAAAATTCTGTCAATATCTTAGCTTTTCAATTGTTGTTCGCATGTGATATAATTGGCATAACACAAGCAGTATACGAAACTTTCTTTGTCTATACAACTCATATGATAAAAGAAAGAAAAACTGGTTCTTTTTTTTTCTTCTTCCACGTTGTGCTATCTGGGACAATGGGAATAAACAAAGATGGTGAATATTCCCATTTAAGACACACAGGAAGACGTGATTCTTTTTATGGAAATGTAGAGTGGATGTTGGCCAAAAATGTCGAAGAAAGGGTCACAGATCTGAACATGCTTACTTTATGGGCTAATCTGTACTAGGTAATTTAATAATTCAACAATATCCGAATGGTACTACATTCTGCATATCTTATTTATCTTTGTTCTAACAACTGCAGCACAGTTTCTAATTATCACTTCATCCCCAATCACCAGACATCCTGTACTTGTATATCACATCACATCAATCAAAAAACCCAATAAATGCCGATGCCCCCTCTTCAACGTCCCCTCATCCTAGACTCAAAATTTAATTTTATCTTTTTGTCCTTATTTGGAGTCTCAGGTTATTAAATAGAATACACAAGGAATATACAGTACTTAAACACCACGCATCCCCCAACTGCATACATTCCCCTTTCCCATCATCATTGTCGTTGATTCGACTTGGCATAATACATTAAGCATTGAGTGTACATAACCCATAGAAGAGAACACATATACGAGTGTGAAAATTCTTTCTTACATATCTGGAATTACATGACATACGAGACTAAGAGATTATTTCTCAATCCTAAAGCACACGACTTATTCAAAAAAGCAAAACTCAATTATCAATAACTAAAAAGACTTACAACAGCATTCAAACTCTGCTGTTACAAATTCTAAATCGTAACAATGGCAGATTATTTATTTACCGTCTTTTCATTAGTTGCCGTTCTCTTTTCTGTAGTTCCAGGAATATTTCATATACAGACCCGCAATTGGGGAGCAATATTCATGACATTCTGGGTGGCATACACTAATCTCATAGATTTCATCAATTCTCTCGTCTGGTCGGGCGATGACCTTCTTGACGTGGCTCCAGTATACTGTCTTATCACAACTCCGATTTATCAAGCTTCAAGTTATGGTGCGCTTGCTTCGGTTGCGTGTATGATACATGCTCTCTACACATACGTCTCATCCACCATCATCATTACCGAGAGAGTACGCAGAAGACGGGCACTTATCGACTTTATCGTCTGCATTATCGTTCCAACTGTGTTGGCCGCTTGCTATTATATTGTTCAGGATCACAAATATGGTCTTAGACCTGTATTAGGTTGTTTCTCACCATACACGTATACCTTACTAACTGTGTTCATTGTTCACATATGGCCCGTGATATTTGCCTTAGTGGGAAGTGTTTATGCAGGTAAATGCCAAAAATAGTAGATTTATCATGAATATCACCAACCATTTTAAGCAATTTCATTTATTAATATTTGTTGCACGGGTCGTTAATTTCATTTACTAGTCCTCACTGCCTATGCTATCGTCAAGAAACGTCTCGAGATACAAAGACTTTTGACTTTCAAAGAATCGGGTCTAAACCAAGCCAAATTCTATCGTCTAGTGTTTTTCTGCGTCTCTTTCCTCATTGTTGCCCTTCCCGGTAGCCTTCTTCAACTCAAAGAGGCCTTCTTATTCAAGTTTTACCCTTATTCCTGGAAATTCGTACACCAAGATTGGAACCAAGTGAGCGTTTATGACCAAGGAGTAAAACTCGTTGACTATTTCAAACCCCTTACGGGTATCATGCTCTTCATATTTTTCGGCACTGGGCAGGATGCACTGGCTAAATATAGAGCATGGGGAAGAATGATCAAGTTGGACATTGTATTTCCATTTTGCTTCAGGGAATCCGAGACAGAATCTCGATTCACATATACTGTCAAAAGCTCTACAACTGAGAAATCGCAGCCCACCAACAAAATATCTCAGTCTTCCCTTAATTCGTCAAAGGTATTATTATCAGCATCAACAGAGACCAGCTCGTCCTATTCATTCAATTCACCAAAAGGAACGCAAGAAAAGAAGAAGAAAGGCCTCACAAACTTTCTGTTCCTTGGTGGACATCGTACTCCCTCTGAGCAAGCCGCTGTTGATATGACATCTGGCATTCGCATTCGTATCGACGGACTTGATACTCGTACTGTTATCGATGATTCGATTGCAGAAGAGAAGGAACCTGATATGTATGAGAAGAAAAGAAAGTCAGAGTTTTACCAACCCCCACGTATCCTGGTGACTACTACTACCGAAACTACAACAGGTTCTATCGAAGAGACGGGAGACGTTGGAGATGTGAGAGACAGCGTTATTCAACACGTAGAGGATTTGTTGAGCGTATACCCAACTGTTAATGTGATTCCACCCAACGAGTCAGATATTGCCGATTATCACACGATAGACGATAACGAGTCTTCGGAGACTGGATTCGCCCTGTGATATTTTACTTTTCCTAATCAACATATTTTATAGACATCAATTTTTCACTGTATAAAAACGCAATCAATCTTTTTTTGTACTTTAACTCGTCACTGTGTTTTCTCTTCACTTTTGCATTTTTCATTTCTTCATCCCGCTGCATTTATAAATACTAGCAGAAACAACCCTACCTCCATTCCCCTATCCGTCATAACTCTCATTAACTTATTCTAACTTACACTCAATGTAGTTTATTAAATCAAGCCAAATGTATATATAACTCGATAATTCTTTTTCTATTTTTTAAAAAAAAATATAGAACTCGCTTTTCCACATGATAATTAATTGTTTGCGTGGTTTCCTATATTTAAGTGTGTACCTAAAATGACACATTTCCAAAGCGTCTCTCTTTACTTTCTGGGTATATCATTTATTGCGATGAGTAATGAATGTCAATTTCTATGCAGGAAACGTTGTTTTGCAAAACGCGCTTTACAGGATATGTGATATTCCTACTCGCAAGTCCATAAAATATATGTTTCGTTTATAATCTACTGTATGAGCCATCCATGTTTTCATTCTAGGCTATCATTACATTATCAATTAGAAATGGTAACGCGTAATAATTTGTGTAAAATAAGCAATTCGACATCACCCATCATATCATCATATGTTGCAATTAATTAGATTCCGAAATTAAAGACACGTTTTTATAATACACAACTAGTAGGACGACGGAATTTCGGATAAATTAAGACAGGATAATCAATAATCCTTTGGCGAAACTGTGAATTACCTTACTAGCTAGAAATCGGCTACATTGTCAAATTGCAAAATACCTTGCTGTCATGTTTAGGATTTGGCGAACAACCATATCAATTTGCGATTTTTTTATACAGTCAATCGATGATTCGGTCAGCTCCGGACTTGTCCCCTCAAGCTATAATAATAATTGCGGTAATAGAGAAAAATATTCTTTATGAAAAATGCTTCTGTGTTTGTCGATACTAAAGCGTACCAAGTAATTGAATCCAATTTCTTATAAATGGTTGTCTTCTGTATAAACCATTCTGACGGTAGCACAGATCACAAGATGGGAAATATAAAAGATTTTTGAGCCGTGCGGCGAGGTGACAACCATACTACCAAGCCAAGATGTGCATGGTATGTGGTTCACGGTTTGCAAACATGCTGTTTTGAATCTTTTTAACCAAACCAGCAATTTCAGAAAGTAACTTGCGCTAAATGCCAAAAGCTTACTTGGCGTGGTTGCGGTAAACACGTTGAACAAGGTTAGTTATCATTTACGATCGGTCTTTTCACCAGCTAAACAACATCTCCTTTGTATCTTACAATAGTTATGAAAGACGTAAGACCTGAGGATCGCTGCACTTGTTCTAGCAGTAAAGATGAAAACAAAAAGGATGCTGCAGTTAAAACCCAAGATACTGTTTACGACAAGTAAATATTGTTTGGATATCAAACGATACGTTAACTGGAGTGGGTGGATTCATAGCATAAAAGTCGCTTAGTTTGCGCGAGAGGAATTTTGGCCTTGCTATATATGCTGCGCCTTTAAATTTGAACGTTTAGTCTGCTTAAGCAAGTTGCAAGACTTCATCATTATGAAATACATGTAACACGATTGCACTAAAGAAAATATACTCGTAGTCGTAGATAAGAATTCATTTTTTTCATATACATTCCCATGCAAATTTAAAATTCTGTTTCACATTGTTTTCCATAAAAAGGTTTATCAGGAATGCACGGTATGAATTATTAATATCAATTTCTAATCGTGACTAAACACTCAATCCCACAACAAAAAAAAGTAGGGTAAAATTAAAATGTTTATATCGTCGATAACACTTGTCCATGACTGAAACAACTGCTTATCAGTATTTAATAGTCCAATGTCTTGCGTCAGCGTACAAGTTTGTACACACGCATATAAAACACTTGAGATGTTCATTCCGCTTATCGACTCTGTACAGCACCGGTACAAAATGTTGTGATAGAGTTTTTGGTTCATTTACCGACATAACGAAAGACTGTATATGCAAAGTTAGTCACATAAATAGTAGAATTCCATTTATTAATTTACTACAATACGGTTTTACATATCAAGCTGCGGATATCAAACACATGTTACCCATCTTTTTCGCGAAACTCACATAATATGAATGTATAACAATCACAAAAAGACTACTGGAACTCACTATAGCATATATGCATTTTTGTAGACCATCAGAGAAACACGTTTTGGACAAAAAAAGCGCACGAAAAATTTTATTTATTAGAGATAACGACTTATTTTCTAACATACTAATACTAAGCGATACAATAATTATAACGATATCGGTTTGGTGTAACGAGTGGAGTAAGAGATTATTTTACGCGTAGTTATGCGAAAGAACGCGCGTTGCACATATGACACCAGCATTCGATCGTTAAAACAAAGAGTCAACTATTTATAACTCTAGTGTGTTGTACACTTCCATGACATAGTTATGAGCTCGTTCTAAAATTTACTAGTAAATTGTATGAAAAAAAACAACAAACTTTTATTTTAAATAATCTTTTTGTCTGCAAAACATTGTGAAAAGTAACAATAATTTTATGAGTTTAAAACTGATTGACTGTGCTTTTTGAACCCCCCCAAGTGAATTTTAACACATTATTATCACAAAACGTAGCTTGGTAAAGAAATATGCTCCCAGATACTAGTACATGTAAGATTGATAATTAAAATTTTCTGTTATTGTTTTTCAAAACGCAGTCAATTAGCTTCAAACTTATACAAAAATTATTGTCACTGCAACTTGATAAATTCCTTTAATTGCTGTTCTGATGCCCAGAAAGGTTTTGTTGTAGCATAATCAGCACACATAAAGTGGTAACCCATGCTCATGTGCAGAGAGTAATTTTGTATATTTATATTGAAGTGCCCATAAAAATGTTTCTCAAGTTGCCCTTTTGTTGCTGTGGATAACAGCTCTATAATAACTGTTTAATTATGAGACTAATAGCTGACCATAGACCAGTGCGTTTGTCAGCTTCATAGAGTAGATGCTACTGGCCAGTGACTTGAAATCCATGCTGGAGAAGCCAATTCTGCAAAATCTCTCCTTCATACACCCATATCATAGGACATTTTTCTTTGGCAGTTTGCTTGAATGCAGTATGACATGTCAAACTTAGTATTAAAATTTTTTGAACAACATACTTCAAGACTTACTCTGTTATCATCATAGGTCTTCACAAATCTGTATTAGACATGAGCTTGGAGTGCAAGAATTTCATGGCAAACCTGGCTGTTGGATCTAAAAGTTGATCCATCATACTCATTACACCGAAGTGTAGTGTTACGGTTGCTGAAGCATAAAAGTGAGTCACATGATAAAATCTTCCTCCGCAGTCCCCCGCAGTCGTCGTATGGTCGATTTAATAGAATAGTCATACTAGATTCGCTAATTAGGAAATAATTTGATGTTTCAACAATTGGCGACGGTGACGAACAGTACAAAAAGCCAATTAGGAAATAATTTCGATGTTTCAAAAATTGGTGACGGGATTAGCCAGTACAAAAGGCCAATTAGGAAAAAATTAGTGTTTCAAAAATTGGCGACGGTGACGACAGTGGCGATAGAAAAGATATATAAGCGACTCTATTCCATGGTTCACCCTCATGTTGTGTATGTTGTGCGTTGTTCGATTGTTCTTGTTGTACCTCAGTTGGGAACCTGTCTCAGTTCTGGACTGAGACAACTGAATTCTGGACTGAGTGTCTGGGTTCTGGACTGAGACAACTGAGTTC